TGGGAAGGTCAACCGCTAAGGAAGTGTTTCAAGTGCTGAGGAGCAAGGATGTCTCCTTGAGGACTAAGGTGCGCCTGACACAAGCCATGGTATTTCCAATCGCCTCATATGCATGTGAGAGCTGGATAATGAATAAGGAAGACCAAAGAAGAGTTGATGCTTTTGACTTGTGGTGCTGGCGAAGAATGCTGAAAGTATCATGGACTGCCAGAAGAATGAACAGATCTGTCCTGGAGGAAGTGCAGCCGGAATGCTCCTTGGAAGTGAGAGTGGCCAGACTTCGTCTCACCTATTTTGGTCATTTTGTCAGAAGGGACCATTCTCTGGAGAAGGATGTCATGCTTGTAGGATGGAGGGTCAACAAAAGAGGGGGAGGCCTTCAACGAGATGGATTGGCATGGTGGCTGCGACGATGGGCTCAAGTATAGCAGTGATCGTGGAGCTGGTGTGGGATCGGGCGGTGTTTCGTTCTGCTGTGCATGGGGTCGCTATGAGTCGGGAACGACTTGACAGCCCCTAACAACAACAACAACAAAGCAAGAAGGAGCTCTGATGGCGTAGTGTCTAACCAGACTGACTGCTAACCAGAAGGTTGGTGGTTCAAACCCACCAGCCACTCTGCATGATGGAAGATTGGGCAATCTACTGCCATAATGATTTACTGCCTTGGAAACCCAATGGGGGTCGCTATGAGTTAGAACTGACTCGATGACAGTGAGTTTGGTTTTTTTGGGGGGGGCTGGAGAGAGGGAGCTCTGGTGGTGCAGTGATTAAGGTAATTTGGCTGCTAACCCCAAAGTCAGCGGTTCAAGCCCACCAGCCACTCCAAGGAAAAAAGACAAGGGCGGTCTCGCTTTTGAAAAGATTTACTGCCTTGGAAAGCCAATGGGGGTCGCTGTGGGTCGGAATTGGCTCAGCGGCAGTGAGTTTGGTTTCTTTTTTTTTTATTATTGAGGGCTGGGGAGGAGTTCCAAGGTGGTATGAAAGGTTAACACGTTCAGCTGCTCACCCAAAGGTTGGAGGTTCGAGTCTACTCAGGCGCCTCAGAAGGAAGGCCTGGCAATCCACCTAAAGAATAAGCCCTTGGAGACCTCACGGAGCACAGTCTACCCTGACACACGCGGGGTCTTTGTAGTCGAAATCCACCGACGGCGTCGCGTGGTTTTTAGGGCTGGGGTAGACGGGCTGCAAAGGCTGAGAACTGGAGGGAGGGGGCTGCGGCCGGGGCTCACGAGGGGTCTGGAGTGAGTCCCAGGGACAGCTCTCTGTGTTCCGATCTCATCGTGTGCATGCCAGGGCATGGGCACGGGGGCCTCAGCGAGTCTCCGTGGGCTACAGAAATGACGAGCGCCACGAATATGGGTCATTCACATGGTCAGCTGGCTTTGCTTGAGGCTTGCATCTGGGTCCACAAGCATCTATTGGAGCTGACCCCCAGACTCACTGGTTCTTCCAGCACTGGTGTGGACGTGCTCACTGGCAGTGGGGGTCGGGGGGACGGAGGCTTGGGGGAGAGACCGCAGTGTGAGTCATGGCTTCATACTGCCAGCTGTGTGACTTCACTCAAGTTGCTTTGCCTCTCTGTGCCTCCGTGTTGTCATCTTGAAGGTTGCATTGGTAACACAACCTTTCGCAGAGGGTTTCTGTGGGGATTGAGTTGATACTTGGGAGGCACGGCTCCCAACTGCACTGGGCCTTTTAAAAGCCACAGGCCGCAGTAAGATTTCACAGCGTGAGGAGGAGCGTTGAGAGGTCTCTCACCCTCCTTCCCCAGCCTCCTCCAGCTCAGACTTGGGCTCGAGGTCTGATGTCGTGGCTTCTCTCAGCAAGAACCACCTCTGCCACCGCAGCTGTCACCGTTGGTGGCTTTAGGACTTCAGAGCCCTGCCTCCCCTCCCTGGCTGCCCTTCGGCTGACATTTGAGCTCCCCGGATGAGAAGGGCCCACCTCGCTGTTGGCCTCCAAGGCAGCCCGGTGGTGCCTCAGTGGTAAAGTGGTCTGTTGTCCATGAGCTTAGATGAGACGCAGCTTAACTAGTTCAGAGCCGAGGCCAGTCCGGGGTCCATGCTGTCCACTCGCCCACTGTAGCTTTTCACATCCTTTTGGTCCCAGTGGTAAAACGCATTTTTGATAAAGAGAACTTTATGTCAGCATGGGGGAGGGGGGTGTCTGTCTGTCTGTCTGGGGCCTGAGGGGCTTGGCTAGACACAGCCAGCAGCTCACGGTTGTTGTCTCTGGTTTTGCACGGCTGCCTGTTAAAATGACAGTGCAGACCAGAACACAGAAGTTTAAGGAGCCCTTCTCTCATTTGACAAACCGATGGTGAGAGGCTCTTGGCTTCCAACGGAGTGGGCTTCTGGCTTCCGACGGGGTGGGGCTTCCGGCTTCTGACGGGGTGGGGCTTCTGGCTTCCACTGGGGTGGGGCTTCTGGCTTCGGTACCTGGAGCGTTCTGCTCTGATCAAGACCAGACCCCGTAAGCTTCCTCCCAGCCAGGTGCGCCCTTGGTGCCGGCAGCTGCTGGGCAGGGTGAGTGGTGCCCTGTGCCCTGGTTCTGACGGCGGGGAAGGTGCCCTGACAGCTCGCGGCAGTCAGAGGCCGGGCCTTTCAGAACCTTCCCGTTCCTGGGCAGCAGAGCCCTGTGGCCTCCCCTCAGCTCTGAGGGCCGCTGGGTGCTCCCCTGTGGTGGGACTGCAGGAGGATGGGGCGGGAGGATTCGTTTGGCAGGCGCCAAGGGTTGAGGCAGACAGGGCAGCCTTCGCCGTCTTCATGGAGTGGAGTGCAGGGGAGAGCCCAGGTTTTAGGGTCAGACCCTTGGGTTTGAGTCCTGCTTCTGCCATGTGGGTCAGTGACTTGGCCTCTCTGTACCTCAGTTTCCTCAAACGGACTAATACCTGGATCTGACTTACAGGGTTGTTATGAAGATAAAGGAGGTAATTCAGGTGAGAGGCTTAGAACAGCGTATGGTGCCCAGGAAGCACTCAAGTCAGCTCGGATTACCACCAGCGTGACTGGCTACTTCCGGGGAGTGTCACCAGGAGGGTGTCACCTGTGGGGAGTACCTCGGGGGAGTATCACCAGGAGTTTTGTGGGGAGTATCTCTGGGGAGTACTTGCTGGGAGTACTACCAGGAATGCCTCTGGGGAGTACCACCAGGAGTACCTTCAAGGAGTATCTGTCTCCAGAGAGTGCCACCAGGAGTGCTGCGGGAAGGACCTCTGGGGGTACCTCCGGAGAGTACCACTAGGAAGGCTGTGGGGAGTACCTCTAGAGGGTGCCCCTCAGAAGGACCTCTGAGGAATACTTCCAGGGGGTACCACAAAATGTCCGTCTGGAGTATCACCAGAGAGTACCACCAGGAAGGCTGTGGGAAGGACCTCTGAGGAATACTTCCAGGGAGAACCACAAGGAGTACGTCTGGAGTACCACCGGGAGTACTTTTGAGGGGCACCTCTGAGGAATACTTCCAGGGAGTGGCCCCTAGGAGTATCTCTGGGGAACAGGCCCAGGAGTGCCCGTGAGGAGTAGCTCTGGGGAGTAGCACCAGCAGTACAGCCCTGCAGGGAGGACCCCTGGGGTAGCTTGGTGCAGTCTGGGAGCGAGTGCGTGCAGCCCCCACCGGCCGCCCCCTCCCCTCCCAGCTCCAGGTGTGACTCTCCCTCCCTCCCTGTGCTCACAGATGTGGACGAGTGTCAGGACAACAACGGTGGCTGCCAGCAAATCTGCGTCAACGCCGTGGGCAGCTACGAGTGCCAATGTCACAGGGGCTTCTTCCTGAGCGATAACCAGCACACCTGTATCCACCGCTCCCACGGTGAGTGCGGGCCGGGCCGTCCCAGAATCACCTGCGTCTCCACTGGGGCCCTCGGGCCGGGCCCGGGCTGTGGGGGGCCTACACGGCTGTCTTGGGCTCTGGTGTTGATCCTGCGTGGGTATCTTCCCGGCTCCCTCCTTCCCTGCAGCACGAGGGATGTCAGTGTTACCACGCGGCATCGAGGTGGGACCTCCCGTGGGGCTTGTTGTGCCCAGGAAAGCTGTTCCCTGGGTTAGGTTTGCTGTGCCCAGGGCGAAGGCCTCTGTTCCCATTGTCCTGCTCCCCAGAGGGGGCTCCGGGCCTGGTCAGGCTGAGTACTGAGTGCTCGGCCCCCTGTACTTGGAAGCACCGAGAGCCAGCTAGCGGAGGTCCTAGTGGTTGGGCGCCTGCTGCCCCTTGGAAGCTGGGCAGGTGGTAACCCAGCCTGTGGGCGCAGAGGAGCCTGGGAAACAACCAGCAGGGTGACTGGGTAGATGGGCCTTGGTGTCAGGGTGGGGGTCAGAATCCTAGCCCTGGGCCCAGAGCAGCAGAGCTCTGAGGTGCAAGCAGGAACCAGGGCACGTGGACACACGTGCTTGGAGGAGAGGGGCTTCCAGGCAGGGGGAACAGCATCTGCAAAGGCACAGAGGCTCATCTGGCTGAGAGAGTGACACGGTCAGGAGCCTAGGAGTGCAGCAGTGTGGCTGTGAGTGCAAAGCCAGGCTTCCCTCCCCTGACGCTGACCCTGGCGTGGAGGAGGTGCTGGAGGTGGGGGGCCACGCCTCCGATCTGTGACTCCAGCCAGAGGCCGGTCCACCGGCTCACAGGAAAGGCAGAACAGGCGGGGCCCATGTGGACCTGGCTCTGCCTGCTGCTCCCTGCTGGGGGCCCACGGGCTGCTCCACAGGCCTCTCTGGGCCTCCACCTCCTCCCTCTGCTAAATGGGGGCCGAGTGGTGACCGGCAGGGCTTTGGAGGATGGAGTGGGAGCACGTGTATCAGGTGCCTGGTGTGCAGTGAGGCAGTGAGACCAAGAGCCCTGGGCAGGTCCATTTGAAAGCCGTTTCTGAGAAAGAAAAGGGGGAGATGTCCAGAAAGCAGACGCCCAGGGTGATGAACCCCAGTGCCCTGCTGGGCTCTTTGACCCCCAGCCTCCCCCACTATGTGTTCACGTAGACAGTTTCCTCCGGGCAGGACTGGCCTGAGAACCCCATGCCCCAGCTCTGCTAGCTGTGCCCAGAGAGACAAGAAGGTTGAGGGGCCCCTCGTGGCACTGTTGTCCAAATTCCCCCACCAGCTCTCCCCAGGTGACCCCAGGGCAGTCAGGAGCCTGCCCCCTGCAAAAGCCTGCCCCCTGCAAAAGCTCCCAGCCGCAGCCCACTGGGGCCGAGTCATCGCTGGAGGCAGGTGATGACACAAATGAGAACTGAGCCCACACCCAGTTTGATGGAAGGCGACTTACAGGGCAGAGTCGGAGTGAGTGTCTGTGGTGGAAGGGGTCCCACATTCATTGAGGAGGGGGCTTTGAATAGTGGCTGCTCGGAGAAGCTGTGGTATTCCTGGGCTGTGGCTGTCTGGCCCCCTTTTCAGTCTGCTGTGTGTGCCTTGGGAGCACAGCTCGCCACAGCAGGCCCCCGACTGAAAGGGGGCACGCGGGAAGGACAGTCAGCTGGATGTGCAGTGACAGCCAAGTCCTGTTTATAAAAGGGTGTTGGGCTGGCCTTGGTTGCCACGCCAAGGATGTCATGCACTGGGGCATCTTCCAGGGCACTGGTGTATCAGAGAGAAGACACTGTGGAGGGGACAGCAGACCTTGAGCCTGACATGGTCCCGGACGGGTGTGTTTCCCTCGCCCACAGCACCTGTGAGGGACGGGGTGGTAGTGTCCCACTGGTGGTAAGGAAATGCAGGCCAGTCAGGTGAGGTGACCTGCCCAGGGCGACACAGTAGGGGAGGGCCAGGGCCACGATTTGCACTCGGGGTCCACCAGCTATGGGGCTGGCTTCTCAGAGCTGAGAAGGCTCAGAGAGAAAGAAGTGGGGTGACACACATACAGTGGCTGGAGCTGAAGGCCCCTGTGAAGGGACCCCATGGAAGCTGAACCTGCAGTGATGTCCTGGGAGGAGCTGGGGGGTCAAAGGCCCTGAGGTGGGGATGGCCCCAGCACGCACGGGGACAGCAAAAATGCAGAATGGCGGTGTGACAGCCCTCACGGAGCCAGAGGAGGAGCTCTAGGCGCAGGGGCTTGGCAGGGCCCGGCTGCCTGGGCCTGGTGGCCGGGAAGGATTTGGATGTCACGTGGGGTGCAGCCGGCCATGGCGGGGCAGGGTGAGCAGAGGTGGGGAATGAGGCTAGAGGGACGAGTGGAGGATTCCCGGGGGAGCTCAGGGACGCCCAGAGACCAGGCTTCAACTGACGGTGCGGGGGCCAGTGGGCTGAGGGGACCGTGGCACACACGCCCCTCCCCAGCAGCAGCCCCTTGGGTTGGTAAGTGGAGGTGGGAATATAGACCTGAGTGGAACACAGACTAGGGGCCTCGGCCCAACTGCCCTTGACCAGCGCCTCGTCTGAAGAGGCTTCTGTTCTCTGTAGGATTTTCCTGTGGCGTCTCTGGCTTTTTAAGGCTGCCCAGTGAGATCCGCTTAAACCCAACAGAAACCTTCCTGGATGCCTGCTGAAGGACAAGTAGCAGCATTTCCTGAGTCCCCAGAGGCGGTGTGGGAGGCCCAAGGGGCAGGCCATGTGCACAGGACCCCGGCGCCAGGGCTTCCCTTCAGAAGCGCTCGTAAAGCCCGTGGCCGGAGCGGGGGCCTGGGTCCACCTCAGCTGGTGACTTAGGCTAACTGCCCACTCTGAGCACGTCTATTGTTGTGATAGTTGCCTAACGTTAGCGTCAGACAGCGACAGTCATGACTGCTATGGCCACATAACCCCTGAACGACCGCTACAGCTCAAAGTCAGCGTGCCACGGCGAGGGGGCCTCGGGCCCTCCACTTGGAGTTTGTTTTATGCCTAAGTGGCCGCTGATTCCCAGGACTCCCAGGGGGCTGATGGATCCAGAGCCATTTGGCAAATTAGATTCCTTATGTCACCTGACTCTCCCTTGTGCCTGCCCAGCTCCGGCTGGAGGAAAGCACACCGAGTGGTTTTGATTAGAGGGGCCGGATGCGTGAGAGGCATGAGAGGCGTCAGCCAGGTCAGTCCGGGCTGCTGGAGGAGCAGGCCGCGGCCCAGCCCTCCCGAGCGGGCCTGCGGGTCCGGCTGGGGCTGGGGCTGGGGCTGGCAGCACTGGGTTCTCAGCTCCTCTCTGCCCCACTGCTGGCCATGTGCTCTCTGCACAGTCCTTGCGGCCTCTCTGGGTCTCCTCCTTTGTGCAATAGGGGCAGCAGTCCCACCCTGACGAGTAAGGGTCCTTTAGGGGGAAATGGTTAGAAGCTGTCAGGGGCAGTGACTAATGTGATAAGCTCGGTCAGGGCTCAGGCTTGGGCTCAGTGTAGGGGAAGGGAACCACAGAGAGACCCCAGGCTGTTGGGTTCTGTGGCCAGTCTGCCCCCGGTCCTGGCTCTGGCACCCCGGCACCACAGGCTGCCCTGCTCAGCCTCTGGGCCCCTGCGTCACAGTCCCAGGGTAGCCCTCCTGTCCCCCCTGGCCTCCACTGCTCCCCCATCATGCACACGGGGGAAGGGACAGTCCTGGAGCAGACGGGCCGCCTGAGGAGCCCGCCCCCTCGACCTCACCCTCTCACGATTTTGCTTCTTGTCTAACGGGCACCGTCTTTCTGTCCCAAAGTGCTGCCCCTTGTTGCTTTTGCGCTTCACCCTTTTCTCCCGACGAGGATTCTCCTTGCAGCCTGGCCAGAGCTGTTTGAAGGGGCAGAAGGGCTCAGAGAGCCTGGGTCTCCCCAGCTCTGGGGCTGTGGTCACTATCTGATTTGTCCACTCCCTCATTCATTCATGTGCCAGTACCCACCTAGTCTCTGGAGTCCCAGTGTCAGCGTGACCCTTTTCTTCCAGAAGGGGGATCAGAGGTCCCTGTGTACCGCTGGCTGAGAATACAGCTCCGGAGGGAAGTCGTGGGCGCTTCCATCTGGGACCTTGTGTTTGCTGATCTGAGCGGTGGTGATGTCCATGACGCTGGTCTCTGGGGGAGTTTATGAAGGACCACTGCTCTTACCAGCAGGTTCCTGGGCCAGCACTGGGTGCTGAGAGTTTGAGTGTCTTTGCCCCCCATGCCCCAGGAAGAAGTTGTCCTATAGGGCTGTGCCCCAAGCCCTTCCAGATGCCCACTGGGTGCTGGCCTCAGCCGTGGTGGACACCGGAACAAGAGGAAACCTGGTATTGCTCTCACAGTCATGGGGACACCTTGGACTTGCAAGGGAGCTTCGTGTGCTGCACAGTCCGAGACCGCTGCTTGGGCCCTCTGACCCTATGTGCATGTCCCTGTGTCGCGGGCCTCCGTGATGAAGAGCACAGCACTGCTGCTCGAGGCGTGTGTGACCTCACAGAAGTCACTTAGGTCTGTGCCTTAGTTTCCATCTCTGTGAAACGGGGCGCCAGGACACTGCTTCACAGGATTGTCTTGAAGCCGTTTCAGGAAACGTGAGCTCTTCTCCTGGCTGTTTATTGTTGGGGTTGAAGCTCAGAAGGGCAGGGCCTTGCCCAGGGTCCCACTGCACGCTGGTGAACAGGCTCCACACGTGGGTGCTGGGTGCTGGGTGGAGGGCAGTGCTTCTGCTGAGGGTGGGGTGGGCGGATCCGGAGGTAGGCCGTGCCCTTGCAGAATGGTGAGCTGGTGGCTCTGGCTCCTGGGTTCCCCCGGGTGCAAGGCAGCATGTGCCGACACCCGGGACCCATCGAGACGGTTGTCTCATTTGTCCCTGTAGCACAGGCTCACACGCTCACACACTCACACGCTCACAAGCATCTGCCTTCTGAGCGTCAGAGGTGGAGGGTGGACGGGGGCGAGCAGCCAGGCTGGGTAGCATGGAGGTTGGAACAGCAGTCGGCTCCCAGTGGTTCCCTG